GCCGCAGGAAGTGGTCAGGAGACGAAGAAACCAATGTGAACTGAACAGACTGACGTGGGCTTCATTTGCAAAGAAAGGGATAGGGAGAGAAGAGACCCGATGTGTCTGAATATTCTTCTTGAAAGGAGAACGCAAAGGGGGTTGTGAGGATCTTTGCGCTCTGTTTGACAGATGGCAAAACCAAGGCAGAGGAGAAGGCACCACTCTCCTTTTTTCTCTTTCACTTATTTATTTGGCTGCCCATGGCCTTCACTGCATGCAAGATCTTTAGTCACAGTCTGTGGGATCTAGTTCTCTGGCCAGGGATTGAACCTGGGCCCCCGACATTGGGAGCACAAAATCTTAGCCACTGGACCATTAGGAATGTCCCAAGGTGCCACTCTTCTGGAGGCCCTTTGACTGCAGTGACTAAGAGCAAAATACCAGTCTCCTATGAAGGCTGGTAGCCTTGACTTCTCCAAGAAAAAGCAAGAAACAAAGGGCAAGGCCAGGTGCTGGAACAAAACTATTGGCCATTAAGCCCTCCCTCATCTTTCTCCAATGGAAGGCCCATCACAACGGCAAGACCCCACTGTCACAGAGTCTCGTCTCTGCTCTGTATTCCACTTTATTTATGCTTTTCTTAGCAGTGAGGGCATGTGACAGGTAGGCCTGAAGGCTCTGCCCCAGCCTGGGATGACACCTGGAACACCCCCTCATTTCTTTCCCTGAGTGCTGAGGGAGAAGAAGAGGCAGCCAGTTATTTAGGGCTCACCCCACCCAGAGATTAAGCCAAAATTGCATGTGAAGCTGAAGTCATGGCCAGAATTACTACTAGTTAGCTTCCAGATCACTGAGCAAGTCCTATTTTTCTTGAGGTCAGTGACAGCTTTTGGAGTCCACACTTATGTAACATGGACAAAAAGAAAGAAGAGGAAGAAAGGAAGGGAGATAAAAGTCGAGGGAGAAAATAAATATGGCCACAGAAAAAGGACAGGGGAAAAAATGAAAAGTTGAAAAGGAAGTAGGGATAAAAAAGAGAAAGAAGGAAAAAATGGAACAACAGGGAGGTAGCAATTAGTCACTTTGCAAGCCAGTGATTTTCCTGTTGCTTTAGACTTTTAAACGAAGGAAGAACAGCCTCTGTATTCATGTTCTACTGGTGCCATAACAATATATCACAGATGCCGTGGCTTAAAACAACACAAATTTATTACCTTACAGTTCTGGAGATCGGAAGTCCAAAATGAGTCCAAAATAGGTCTCACTGGGCTAAAGTCAAGCAAGACTACATTCTTTCCAGGGGCTCTAAGGGAGAGTCCAATTTTCCTGCATTCTTCATCTTCTAGAAAATGCCTACACCCCTCATTCATTTTCATTTTCAAATCCCACAATAATCAGGAAAGTCTTTCTCACATCCCATCACTCTGACACTGACTCTTCCACACTTAAAGGCCTGGTGATTATGTTGGGCCCACCAGGGCAATCCAGGATAAGCTCCTTATTCTAAAGTCAGATGATCAGCAATCTTAATTCCCTCTTGCCATGGAATGTAACATAGCCACAGGTTCTCGGGATTAGGACATGGGCCTCTTTGATTAGGACATGAGCCATTATCCTGCCCACCACAGCCTCTTATTTAAAAGAAAAAGAAAAAAAAAAGATACAAATGAACTTATTTACTAAATAGAAACAGACACACAGAGAATAAATTTATGGTTACCAGGAGTGAAGAGTGGCTGGGAGGGATAGATTGGGAGTTTGGGATTGACATGTGCACACTGCTATATTTAAAATAGATACTTATGGACACATGGGGGGCAGTGAATTGAGAGAGTAGCATTGACATATATACACTACCATGTGGAAAATAGATAGCTGGCAGGAAGCTGCTATATAACACAGAGAGCTCAGCTCAGAGCTCTGTGATGACCTAGAAGGGTGGAATGGGAGCAGGGGCGGGAGGGACACTCAAGAGGGAGGGGATGTATGTATACATATGGCTGCTTCATGCTGTTTTATAGCAGAAACCAACACAACTTTGTAAAGCAGTTATATTCCAATAAAAAAGTAGTAAGACTAGCAAAAGCTAGGTTCTCAGAAGTAGCTCAGAACTAGTTTCATTTTTTCCAGCTCAGTGTCACTCCCAAATATACAACAAAAAGTCACTGCTGCAAAAATAAATAAATAAATGTTCTGTTGCTGTTCTTTTCTCCAACAGATGTTTGAAATAGAATTATGTACCTTTTCCCCCCAAACTTTCTCATCCTCTTTATCAAAATAATGACTGTACTCCAAAATTGAGAGGGAAAAGAAATGAGCTTAACAGTCTCACCTTCTAAGGCTCATTGGATACTATTGTCAAAATGAATAACCACTTTTCTCAGCACATTGTGTCTGAAGAAACTCAAGAATTTAGGGACTCATGGCAGTGGATATTCTCCCACGAATAGAAGCAAATGCCAGAAGACTCTCTTAATCCTGGAGGATGTGTTTGAAAACGAATAGCCCAGGGTCAGGGAATGGAGGTTGGGAATGTGCCTTTTTCCCCACCTTTGCCACATGAGCCGTCATAGCAGGGGCAGCTGGTCTGGCCAATCTGTTCAGTTCTGGTGATGTCCTTCCTCGGTGCCTCCTGGTCCAGGACCTGGAGAACGTTTCCTGTGCATGAAGGCAGCCTTGAGCCAGCTGGGAGAGTAACAAGCAACACTCACATAAAAGTGGACAACATACCAACATCATGGGACCAAAGAGCTGGTGGTGAGACTTCAAACTCAGGTGAAATAGATACTAGTGGGTGTGAATTTCCCTGAAAAAGGCAGAAAACAGGGGTGTTGAAGTCTTATGCAAAAGCCCCCCTCTGTGGGAAGCTAGGAATTAGTATGAAATCGGCTGTGTGAAAATCCTTTGCTGTGGTTTTTTTTTGGTTTGTTTATTTGTTTTAAAATCATGATTGTGCTTCTAACTCCTAGTAGATGGACTGAACATGGAAAGAACACCAAGTAACCAGAGGAGTCCCACAAAACAATGCTTATTTCTCTTCTGGGGAAACATTTAGCATATGAGACCACAAGCTGGAAAATAAGCTCTGTTAACCAGAAAACCATGGCAGCAGAAAGTTTAAGCAAAAAAACCAAGGAAAGGAAACTTAGTTGCTCGTGGATACTCTCTCAATTCCATAATGATTAAACCTGGAAGTTGCTAAGAAATTTGAAGAACAACTTCAGACATCAACCTATCAAAAGGCAGGCCTTGACACAAAGTGAACTGGGAGCATATGGTAATGTAACAATATGTACAGCTTTGGAAGTGTATAATACATCCTGGTTGTTAAAACAACACATTGTCTAAAGGCATAACTTGATCTGGGACATGTTACAAATTTCAGCAAACACAATGTTTCTTCCAGGACTAATTCTCTACCTAAATTTGAGATATATCCTAAATTATTTCTCTCACTAAATCAGTAGAGTAAATGATATCTGTTGAGGGATGAACAGGTTCAAAGTTCTTCTGGATCATTTTGAGTTGTGTAGGCAGAAATCTGAACAGCTACATACACATTTACACTGGAGATAGTCTCCAATGGTGACTCTGCTATGGACCAAGACTACAGTTTTGATTGATTTCAAGGTTTCTGAGGCATTTTGTGATCCTCTCTGAATGATCAATGTCCTGCTATATATGATGACCCAGATCTTTAGGATTACTGCTTAGGAACCAAGTAATTTGCATTTCAAGACATCAACTTGGATCACTGGGGGAATAATGGTGGAGAAACATCTTTCAGGATACGTGGTTTTGCCAAATCTCTGTCATCCAGCCTTTTACCATTTTCATTACTAATTGTATATACATGGAGGAATTTCATTTAAATGTCTGGCCTGAAGTGAACGTCTCCAAATATCTATCTATGAATTAGCCATTGGGGGAAAAGTACTGCAGAAGGTATCAAATTACCCTTGCATGATGGAATTCTAACTAGTAGGATAACAGCAGGAGTTCTTCAGAACAAGATGTCTACAAAGAGGAAAGCAGAGAAGACAATAACTGTTTCTAGAATTAGTAGGCATTATTCTATAAAATCCCATAAGGGTTTGTGAGCAGACAAATGTCCTAGTTATTTGGAATCCTTAATTCTAGAAACACACTGAGGCTTACAGCATGGATAAATGGCTCGAATCCTTCCAATGAAAAAGAACACAATAAGGAAACTAGCTCTAAATCACAATTTGAAAAATGAACATCTGTAATTTAACTTTCAATGACCACTTGGCATGTAATGACATGGCTGTATATATGTGCCTAACAGAGTGAATTGTCATCATATCAGGATATAGATCACGAGTCATCTAATTTCTTGGTCTGTCCCCGGGCTTGATAACTGGCAATCTGAGTGACAATTCATCTTGGAACACACATGCAAATCAGTTACCACCTTCTGGACAGAAGATGTTTCTATACTTCTAATTCACCGACAAATACTTAAATGCAAATAGTTAATACTAAGACATGCTATATTCTTCTACTCAGTGGATACTCAGAATATAAAGAAATATTTTCCTTTCATTTTCCTATTTGTCATTATTTTGACATTATTTGGGGCTTCCCAGGTGGTACAGTTGGTAAAGAATCTGCTTGCCAATGCAGGATACATAAGAGATGCTAGTTCAATCCCCATGTCAGGAAGATCCCCTGGAGAAGGAAATGGCAATCCACTCCAGTTTTCTTACCTGGAAAATCCCATGGACAGAGGGGCCTGGCGGGCTACAGTCCATGGGTTTGCAAAGAGTAGGATCTGACTGAGCACACACACACAGACATTATTTAATACCTAGATACTCATCTGACATTCATTTAAAAATGTGTTGCATTTGCACTTGGCTCAAAATAAGGTACCAATTAAAGAACCACTCTTCACACTGTCATGCAGATACCTACACATCCCCAAATTCATTGGTGGGGGTTGATTTTCTGCATGTCTCAGGAAATAGTCAAAGAAACACAACATAAAGCAAATATTTACCCCCACAGGGGAGAATGAAGTTCAGTTTTATAAGGGACATTAACAAATTCCACGGTTTAAATTACAGATTAACAAAGGGTTCATGAGCTCAAATTAAGTTATTCTGTTTAAAATCAATCACCGAGACTGTCATTCTGCTTATTGCTTTGACTTCCTAACAAAGGTTTAAATGAGGACTTTATGTGCAAGTAAAGAACATCAAGAGATCTGCTCTTTTTCAGACCTGCGTGGGCTGGAGGGGCAAACGTTTAGGCTATTAACGTAATTAGAATGAGGAATGCATTTTTCCAGAAAAAAAAATCTTCACCAAAAAAAAAAAAAAGAAAAATCTGCAATTAATCTATTATCTGGGGGAAAACAGTGAGGAATGAAAGGTGGGGTACATTTAGAAAGCACTAGATTCACTGATACCAGAGCCATTCTGGAGACGCCAGGCAGGAAATCTGGAATTCCTCTAACTCTTCAGTGGCAGGCACCAGATTTGGGGAGAAGGGTCCAGAAAGGCTGTTTTATCTTCACTGGCAAAATGCATTCAGATGTGATTTTGCAGCAAAGCATTTTTCCTTTGTCACTCAACCTCATGTTGGGTCACCACTCCAGTGTTGAGCAGCTCCCTGATGGCCCTGTCATCGTATCGGAGGACCTCCTTCAGGATGTGCGTCGTGTGCTGCCCGAGAAGGGGAGGCGGCCTGGCCTCTGACATCTTGAACTTACTGTATCTCACAGCTGGGCCTGTCAGAGCGGGAGGAAAGCAGGAAGCCTGTTAATGACTAACCCTCGGAAATTCATTACCCAAGCAGCCTGGGGTGTTTGCAATGAATGCCAAGAATATCACTGCCCGTTACACCCTTGCAGATGGACCATCGTTTTGGAAAGAAATGTATTTGCACATGTGGCTTTCCTTGACTTTGCTTCAGACGACTGTGCAGTGGTCGTCCACCATGCTGGGGGCTGCATGGATGTGCCTGGTGTGTGCCAGGCCCGTCACGAAGACTCGCAGGGGTAAGTCACTCAGCTGAGCTGACCCTCTGGGTCCCAGAGAACAGTGGCACAGGTACATAGTGTCTCTCTGGAAATCTGACCCCAGGTGAAGGTAACCCACGTGTTTACCACTCAGCATCCAGTGTAAAGTTCCAAGATTTAGTTCAACAGACTGCAGATCAACTAAACCTCAGCCAGATTCTGGGTGGAAGAAGAGGTTATTGGTACAAGCTTCACTGTCAGAGAGACTTCTGTTTGGGTATCAGCTCTTTCACTTTCAAGAAGAGCTATCTTGGACAAATTGTATAACTCCTGTGAGCCTCGTGTTCCACAACTAAACTGGGTATGATGTTTACCATACAATCTTGATGAAAGGGTTTACATGATGTAATGAACAGAAAGCAAGAAGTAAGCATCCCTTAATCCACATAATGCACAAAACCTGCCAGCCACTATGATGACAAAAGCCACCCCATCACCTTCTTTGACACCTGCAGTGCGATGGGAGATGGATATGTACTGCCAGCTCTTTGCTGAGCACTGAGCCACCACGAACAAGGTAACTAAAGCAAGGATTTCAACAACTGCTGGGAATGGATTTCATCATCCTCATTCATCCCCCCCCCCCAACTTTTTGGCTCCACCATGCAGGATATGGGATCTTAGTTCCCTGACCAGGGATCAAACCCATGCCCTCTGCAGTGGGAGCTTGGAGACTTAACCACTGGACTACCAGCGAAGTCCCTCATCCTAACTCTTCACATAATGACACTAAAGTCCCAAATGCTAAAGTTTTGTTCAAGGTCATGGACTTCACCAGTGGCTCAGCTGGTAAAGAACCAGCTTGCCAATGCAGGAAATACAAGAGATGGGGTTTGATCCCTGGGTCAAGAGGATCCCCTGGAAAGGGAAATGGCAACCCACTCCAATATTCTTGCCTGGAAAATTCCATGGACAGAGGAGCCTGGTGGACTATAGTCCATGACATCACAAAGAAGTAGACATGACTGATCACAGCACGCACACACGGCTAATAACTAATAGCAACAGGATGCAAATCCTCATCCACCTGAACCATCTCACATTGACGGTCACGTACTTTCCAGAACCTTAGCAGCCTCATCTTCTCACTCTGCCATGCACAGGCTTGATGGACACCGAGGAACATGCTGTTTCAACAGATTTTACCTTTGCTGCCTCATTCAATAAATGATATTTATGTTGGCTGTCCTTTACATCTCACTTGATGAGCCTTCGGGAAAACAAATTAGAGTCACAGGAAGACTACAGAACAGTATGTTTCCATCTCATAAAGATTTTTCCAGTCTCCTCTGGATTTGGGGAGCCCATAGGAAGAACAGATAAAACCCAAGCACATGTGGGTAACAGAATGTCAGTCAATAAAGCTGTAACGTGCCTGAGGATCTAGGAGAATTCCATTCAGAAAAGATAATGGTGAGGACACAGACCTCCTAAAACCGTCACATGGCACATTTGGGTCACACATACCATCCACACCAGATAAATGGCAATTTCCAACTGATGTCCAAAGTTTTCCTTCTCAGAAGCTCAGGGAAATTCTTTTTTCTTTTTTCCTTCTCACACTTCCTTTCATTTTTTTTTTCCATTTATTTTTATTAGTTGGAGGCTAATTACTTTACATCATTGCAGTGGTTTTTGTCATACATTGACATGAATTAGCCATGGATTTACATGTATTCCCCATCCCAGTCCCCCCTCCCACCTCCCTCTCCACCCGATCCCTCTGGGTCTTCCCAGTGCACCAGGCCCGAGCACTTGTCTCATGCACCCAACCTGGGCTGGTGATCTGTTTCACCCTAGATAATATACATGTTTCAATGCTGTTCTCTTGAAACATCCCACCCTCGCCTTCTCCCAGAGTCCACAAGTCTGTTCTATACATCTGAGTCTCTTTTTCTGTTTTGCATATAGGGTTATCGTTACCATCTTTCTAAATTCCATATATATGTGTTAGTATACTGTAATGGTCTTTATCTTTCTGGCTTACTTCGCTCTGTATAATGGGCTCCAGTTTCATCCATCTCATTAGAACTGATTCAAATGAATTCTTTTTAATGGCTGAGTAATATTCCATGGTGTATATGTACCACAGCTTCCTCATCCATTCGTCTGCTGATGGGCATCTAGGTTGCTTCCATGTCCTGGCTATTATAAACAGTGCTGCGATGAACATTGGGGTGCACGTGTCTCTTTCAGATCTGGTTTCCTTGGTGTGTATGCCCAGAAGTGGGATTGCTGGGTCATATGGCAGTTCTATTTCCAGCTTTTTAAGAAATCTCCACACTGTTTTCCATAGTGGCTGTACTAATTTGCATTCCCACCAACAGTGTAAGAGGGTTCCCTTTTCTCCACACCCTCTCCAGCATTTATTGCTTGTAGACTTTTGGATAGCAGCCATCCTGACTGGCGTGTAATGGTACCTCATTGTGGTTTTGATTTGCATTTCTCTGATAATGAGTGATGTTGAGCATCTTTTCATGTGTTTGTTAGCCATCTGTATGTCTTCCTTGGAGAAATGTCTGTTTAGTTCTTTGGCCCATTTTTTGATTGGGTCATTTATTTTTCTGGAGTTGAGCTGGAGGAGTTGCTTGTATATTTTTGAGATTAATCCTTTGTCTGTTGCTTCGTTTGCTATTATTTTCTCCCAATCTGAGGGCTGTCTTTTCACCTTGCTTATAGTTTCCTTTGTTGTGCAAAAGCTTTTAAGTTTCATTAGGTCCCATTTGTTTATTTTTGCTTTTGTTTCTAAAATTCTGGGATGTGGGTCATAGAGGATCCTGCTGTGATTTATGTCAGAGAGTCACACTTCCTTTCAAATGCTCCAGTACATGACCATATTCTTTCATGGATTGATCCCTTTTCAAGAAAGAACTATACACATTGTGAGGTAGTGTACCTATGCTCCCGAGAAAGCTGATAATCCAGTGTTTTAGGGATGTGTGCCATTTTGACATTAACCATAGTTTTCATCTAAAATTTGTCTTTCAAAAGAAGGACTCTGCCAAAAAATACAGGCTGAAGTCAAAGTCACGTGGCTTTTTTCCTAACTAGATGACCTGAAGTAAACCAATCAACTGGGAAATAGTCATTTGACTCTTGAAGAATCTGGGATAAAACAGGGTTACCATTTATCACTACTGATCCCAGTGCCAGGAGCATTAGCAGTGGTAACTACCGTTTCCTAAGAACCTAGGCTGTGCTGGCCACTATACCAAAGGCCACACATCAGCTCCTTTATAGCCTCACGGCAATCCTGTACGGATACTGATGGAGATTTAAGGTAAAAGGGTTAAAGTTAGGATCCAAGTTAGGCTATGAGAATAACTTGCCAAACATCACACAGCTAGGAAGTATCAGTTTCCAAGTCCAGGTATGTTAGGTTCAGGAACTTGGACTTTTGTTTAAAAAAAAAAAGAATTAATTGAGGTGAAATTCACATAAGATCCACTATTTTCAAGTGAACTGTCCTGTGACATTTAGTACATTTGCAATGCTGTGCAACTACCACCTCTATCTAGTTCCAAAATATTTCCATTGCTCCCACTAAAACCCTCATCCTTTAAGTAGTTTCTCTCAGTTCTCCCCTTTCCCCATCCCCTGGCAACCTCTAACTTCTTTCCATCTCTATGGATTTTTCTGGATATTCCATATCAATAAAACCATACAATATGTGGCCTTTACTGTCTGGCATCCTTCACTTATTATGTTTTTGAGACTCATCTACTTTGGAGTATTGTGCTATTGGCACATAGAACTTGGATTTCTAACTCCCAGCTAGGATGCTATGAGGGAATTCTTCAGGTCCAGCCATAGGAAAGGGCAGGTCAGGTTGTATCACTCCTATCCTTTCCTGGGCGCTTCCAGATCCACACTGAATACTATGCTACCAGTTTAGGATGAAGGGCATGTAACACCTTGCACAAAAATATCTTAAAGAATTTAGGTTGGTGGAATGGTATTACTTGGTAATTTTTAGACTTGCTAGGATAAAGACACCTGGAGGATATGATATATTTGGAAAGCTTAGGCTTCTTTAAACAAATATATGTTACTAAGTAAGCCATATCGCAGTTGACGAAATTGTATATACTTTTCCATATGCCCCTTCAGAAACCAGGTATTTTGCATATGATTGATTTAAGAAAGATTCTGAAGCTGAGATTGTCCATGTAATAATATCAAAGTATGGTATAGTTAACTGAACTGTACTGGCAGTTTTCAAATTGCAATTTCTTAAAAGTTCCTTAAACACAGCAGTGCCCCCTTATCTGTGGGGGATACTTTCCAAGACCCCACTTGGATCCTTAAAACCACAGATGATGCTGAACCCTATTTTCTTATCCATACATCCGTATGACAAAGTTTAATTCATAAATGAAGCACAGTAAGTGAACCACTATAACTACTACTAACATAGAACATGACATGACAACAATATACTGTAATAAAAGTGACATGAAAGTGGTCTCTCTTGAAATATCTTACTATGCATATTTGATGTCTTTTCCAACTTAACTAAGCATCTAAGATACACAGTGGCCTTAACTTTTGTGGACTGAAGTGTGACAGCAAAACTAGTAAGAATTTCTTTTTCCTTCTTCACAGTTTCACGGATAGCAGATTTGCTCTTACTATAGGTTTCAGCAAACTCAGCATACAGTTAATTCTTCTTTCCTTAATAAGCTGGGAACTTCCACCTTCTCACTCAAAAGAAGTTCTTTACGACTTCTTTCTGGCATACCTAAATGGCCAGCATCACTACTCTTGTGCTTTGGTGCCATTACAAAGTAAAAGAAGAGTCACTTTGACACTGACGGACAATCAGTCTGATAAACTAGATGGCTACTAAGTGGTTAACAAATGAATATGCTGGACAAAGAGATAATTCAAGAGACAGAAGGGGATGACAGGAGATTTTATCACTCTTCTCAGAACAGCACACAATTGAAAATGTATGAATTATTTATTTCTAGAATTTTCTAATATTTTCAGACTATGGTTGACCACACATAACTGAACCTTGGAAAGTGAACCCATGGATAAGGGGGACAGAGGTGCTACTGTTTTGCTTGGCCATGTAGGTTATGAAAAAACAAAAATTTACAACCCCTTAAAATATACATCTCTATGAGAAACAGGACAAATAAAGTGATATATCCAGATCCCAGAGAAAGCAAAATTTCCCTGAGTCAATTGAAATCTGTTCTTGAAACCCTGTGCAATGATCCTATATACCTGGGACATTCCTCAGTATAGGCTTTGCACAAAATATATTCCTCAAATGTATTTGTTTCAAGAAGTAGAACATGTTTGACATAATTATTTATATCCAAGGTCCAGAAAGAATGAATAATCTGATTTTCCATTTAAAAAAAAGATGAGCAGATAAGTCACATGTTCTTAAATTACTTTTTGGCAAAGCAACATCTACATTCGCATATGCTTTCAAACACTTGAAAGCTGTGTGATCCTGAGAATTCTTAAAAGTCCTTGAGTCTCAGTCCATAGATTTCTAAAATGAGGTTGGCAATACCTATGTAGGATTGGTTTGAGCATTTGGGGAATATAATGTGGGTAATACTCAACATCAGTAATAATCAGAGAGTATGGAGATGATGCGATACAACTTTGTTTACAAAACTAGTGAATCTTACAGATATCACAGTATGTGTTTAAGAAGTCTGTGACCAGAGGGAGTGGAAAATGGTACAATCCTCCTGGAAGGAAAATTTTCAACTTGATATCAAGAGTTTTAAGTGTTCACATATTTGAATGGAGAAATTCTGCTTTAATAAAACAAAAATTTTCCCTATGAATGTAATCAACAATATCAACAAATGTGGTAGGCAAGGATCTATAGAAATTTCTAATTCTAATACTCAATAAACCCTTTGGTGTGGGATTCTGTATTTAAAAAAAAAGAAAGAAACTTTTTCATCTGTTCTTAGCTTCCACAGTGTACCTTATTAGGAGAAGGTGTTTAGCAATCATTCTCTCATGCACTGTCCTCATAGGTCTATCCAAAACCCCTTCCTTCCAGATAAAGAGGTCAAATAGTTGTAATATTGATAAAATTAGGAAAATATGTTCCAAACTTGGGCATGTGTGCATGCTAAGTCGCTTCAGTAGTGTCTGACTCTGTGTGACCCTATGAACTTCAGCCTGCCAGACTCCTCTGTCCATGTGATTCTCCAGGCAAGAATACTGGAGTAGGTTGCCATTTCCTTTTGTGCTGGTCAAATAAATTTCAGCACATCTAAATGATGGCAAATGACTATAATTTCAAGTGGTGTATTTTGGGACTTTGAATATATATGTTGCCTTCACTATCCCCTGATAAGCCACTGAAGTAAAGGTATAGAAGTTAAGCAAACAAACAGAAAACTTTATATGAGTGAAAAGGACGGGAGGGAGCATCACTAGTGCATGAGATATTTCAACAAATTTAAGAATGACACCAATGGGATCGTGTTGATGGGGAAAGAGGTCAAGAAAGCTGAAGCACAGGATATTCTACAAAGACACTGAGAGGAAGTGGATGCCAATGGGTCCATTTCA